GTCTGAACAAACTCTAGCCATTAAAGAAACCAACCTAGTCAATTGTTAAAAATGTACGCATAAAACTAACGAAAAAATTAAAGCAAGTATTGGACTCAGGTTGTTTTACAGGTGAGTTCTAATGAACACCCAAGGAACAAATAATACTAATCTTATTCAAATGGTTCTGGAGAACAGAAAAAGAGGGAATATTCATCAACTTACAAAACTGCTTTAATCTTGACACCAGCTCCAAGGACAGTAATGGAGAGGAAAATTATAGATGCAAAAATTCTAAATAAAATCATTACAATCCAAATCCAGCAATTAAAAAATTCTGGGGGCCGGCCCCGTGGCTTAGTGGTTAAGTGCGTGCGCTCCGCTACTGGCAGCCCGGGTTCGGATCCCGGGTACGCACCGACGCACCGCTTCTCCAGCCATGCTGAGGCCGCGTCCCACATACAGCAACTAGAAGGATGTGCAACTGTGACGTACAACTATCTACTGGGGCTTTGGGGGAAAAAAAAAGGAGGATTGGCAATAGACGTTAGCTCAGAGCCGGTCTTCCTCAGCAAAAAGAGGAGGATTAGCATGATGTTAGCTCAGGGCTGATCTTCCTCACAAAAATAAATAAATAAATAAATTCTGAATTTATGAGTTAATCCCATAAGTAATGTTTTATCATTTGAGAATCTACGAATGTAGTTCACTACAGTAACAGATTAAAGAAAGAAAACTCCATATGATCACCTTTATAGATGCAAGCAGAAACATTAACAACACACACATACCACAACCTCTTAGCAAACTAGGAATAGAAGAGAACTTCCTTAACCTAAAAACAAAAACAACAGACAGACACAAAGCACAACTACCAAAAGCCTACAGAAAACACCATCCAATGGTGAAATATAGAATCATTTCCTTTAAAGTTAGGAAGAGAGGAAAAAGGATGCTCACCATAACTGCTCCTATTTAATTCCAAAGATCCTAGCTAGCACAATAATATAGGAAAATAAAATGAAAAGAATTAAGGATTAAAAAGTAAAAAACTGTTAATATTGCAGAGGTTATGATTACCTGTATAGAAAATCCAAAAGGATCTACAAATGAATGAGAGATTTCACCAAGGATGTGACATATAAAATAAATACACAAAAAAATCAATAATACAACAGTAAAAAATTAGAATATTCTAAGAAAAATACCAATTATGATATAAAAAAACATAAGAATAAGTCGTACAGCTCTCCTTAGAAGTTTAAGGAAAAAAATTTAAACCTTTACTGAAGGACTTTTAAAAAAGACCTAAGTAAGCAAAGATTTATTGATAGGAAGATTCAATACTAGAAAGATAAGGCTCTTCCATAAATCAATAAATGTATTATAATTCCAAACAAAATGCCGACAGGATTCTTCATGAAACTCACAAGCTGATTATAAAACCCATATGGAGAGCAAACAGCCGATTTTCAAGAACAAGGAAGGGAACCCTTGCCCTGCTAGATGAAAAGATTATAAAGCCATAGTCATTAACACAGTATGGACTCAACAAATATAGAATCCCAATAAAGAAACAGAATGATACAAAAAAAAAGCAAATAGAAATTCTGGAGTTGAAAAGCACAATAACTGAAATGAAAAATTAACAAGAGGAGCTCAACGGCAGATTTGAGATGACAGAAGAATGAATCAGTGAGCCTCAAGATAAATCAATAGACACTATCCCATCTGAAAAATGGAAACAAAAGATTGAAGTAAAACAAACATCACTTCAGGGACATGTAGTACAATATGAAGTGTACCAACATACACTTAAGGGGAGTCCCAGAAGGAGAAGGGCGAGGGAAAAGAACTGAAAAATTATCTGAAGAAATAATGGCCAACGACTTCTCAAGTCTGACACAGAACATTAATACGCCAAATCCAAGAAGCTCAATGATCAAATAATGATAAACATAGAGAGATCCGTACCTTGATACATCATAATCAAACTGTCAAAAGTCAAAGAAAAAAATCTTGAAAGTAGCAAGGGCAAGATGACTCATCATGTTCATGGGAACGACCACATAGCGAAAGGATGGCTTTAAATCAGAAACAACGGAGGCCCGAAGACAGCCGAATGACAAAAAGTACTGAAAGAAGAAAACGTGTCAGAAAAACTATCCTTCAAAAATGAACGTTCCCACATACACATACTGTGAGAATTTGTTGCCAGCAGTCCTGCCTTACAAGAAATACTAAAAGCTGGCCTTAGAGCGGAAAGGATGTGATACCAGATGATAACACTATCCTCAGGAAGGAATGAAGAGGCTGGAAACAGTAAATATATGGATAAATATAAAAGAGTCTACAGAATATTTTTCTCATTTCTTCTCTTAACTTCTTTAAAAGACAAAAGATTGTACAAAGAAATAATTATTATACTGTATTGGTGGGTTTATAACATATATAGATGTAAAATGTATAACAATAGCAAGACAACAGTGGGGGAAGAAAAAGGAACACATTGGAGCCAAGTTTATAATTCACTGGCATTAAGTATTATGCTGAAGTAGACTGTGTTAAGATGCATACAGTCATACCTAGAGCAATCACTAAAAAATAATTAAGAAAAAATAAACATTTCTACAGAAGAATCAAAATAGCATACTAGAAATATTTATTTCACACAATAATAGGCAGTAAAGGAGGAACAGGACCAAAACAGATGAGATAGATGGAAAACAAATTGCAAAATGGCAGAGATGTCAAATTGAATAAAAGATCAAGACCCAACCAGATGCTACATATGAGACAGACCTTAGATTGAAAGACAGAACCAGACTGAAAGCAAAAGGATAGAAAAAGAAATATCATGCAAACAGTAACCATAAGAGAGCTGCAGTAAACAAGACTGTAGTATTGGTACAAGGATAGGTAACTAGATCAGTGGAAGAGAATTAAGAATCCAGAAACCCTTCCTTTTATGTTCATTCGACTTTTGATAAAGGTGACAACACAATTCAATAAAGGGTACTGAGACGAATAGATACCTATAGAAACTTAAGACACCTTATACCTTATTAAAAAAATTAGCTCAGGATAGATTATAGACCTAAATGTAAGAGCTAAAACTATAAAACTTCTAGAAAATAATGTAGGAGAAAATCATTGTGACCCTGTATTAGGCAAAGAGTTCTTACAATACAACCAAAAGCATAAGCCATAAAAAAAGTGATAAAATGTACCTCATTAAAAATAAAAACATTAGCACTTCAAATGATACCATTAAAAAGATGAAAAGACACACGGAGATTGGGAGAAATTATTTGCAAATCAAACATCTGATAAAAGGATTTGTATCAAACTAAAGAACTCTTACAGCTCAACATGACAAACAGCCCAATTAAAAAAATGGGCAAAAGACTTAGACAATTCATCAAAGAAAATATATGAATGGCAAAAAAGCACATGAAAAAGTGATCAAAATAAAAAATGATCAGAATATACAAATTAAAACTATAATGAAATACTACTATATATCCATGAAAATGGCTATGATCCAAAAGACAGAAAATATCAAATGTCTGTGAGTATGGAGAAACTGGAACGCTCACATACTACTGGTGGGAATGCAAAATGGCATAGCCACTCTAGAAAACAGTTAACTTTCTTAAAAATGTTGAACATGATTTGCCATATAACCAAACATTCCACTCCTAGGAGTCAACCCAAGAGAAATAAAAACATATGTTCACACAAAGCCGCCTTTGAGATTGTTCATAGCAACATTATTCATAACAGCACAAAACTGGAAACAAGCCAAACGTCCCTCAACTGGCGACTGGATAAACAAAATGTGGGATATGTATACAATAAAAAACAATTCAGTAATAAAAAGTAATGAAATACTGATAAAGGATATAACATGGATGACCTTCAAAAACATTATGCTAAGTGAAAGAAACAAGATGCAAAGCTTATATATTTTAAATACATATACACATAAAGATTGTATACTGTATGTTAGGCATACTGTATACATAAAAGATTATGTATATTGAATACTGATTTATATATATACACACACATACACATATACTATATGATTCTATTTCTATGAACTATTCAGAAAAGACAAATTTGTAGAGACTGAAAGCAGATCAGTAGTTGTCTGGGGCTGGGAGTGTGGACTGACTGCAAAGTGGCTTGTAGAAATTTTCTTTGAGGTGATGGAATTTTAAAAACTGGATTATGGTGATGGTGGCATAGCTCTATAAATTTACTAAAATTATTAAGTTGTACATTTACAATGGAACTGCAAATAGCAAATTTTATGGATGAAAATTTTACCTCAGTAAAGCTGTTTTAAAAAAGCTACGGCATTCACTTTAATACAAAGCACTGACGCAGTTTAATTGAAAACATTACAAACCTACCAATTAAATCTGTTCCATTTAAACACCATTAAACACTTGGGGAAAAAACTTGCATAAAAGCCTAGCTAATCTGTTATTACCAAATCTGTTTTGTGAATCTAGCCAATTGCTTCAAGAAATAGGCCACTTGAACACGTCAATTAGTGCAATCTGAGTAGCATCAAGCTTGTGGTGCATTGATAACAAGACAATAACTTCTACCTCCGAAGATAAGTTGTAAATTTGATTTTAACTGTAGGTTCTTTACTTTCATACTCGGAAGAAAAATTAGCCTACAAATAGCACTTTTAAATCTAGTAAACTAAATTTCCAAACAATTTTCTTTTTTTTTAACCAATAAAAATAGAACAAAATGCAGGATTTAATTTTAGCGCTTTATTGACCTTATGACATGTATGAATTTTTATTTTTTCACTGAACTAGGTTCTTGTATTTCAACAAAAGAAACCATTGACTCAAACATTAAAAGCTTTCTGTGCAAAACTACCATGGTCTAAAATGATAATATTTTGCTGTTTTCTATTTCATTCAAGAAACAATGTAGTTATTGTACTGTATTATTTGTTCCTCTTTTCATGTGATATATAATACAGCACTTACCCTGCTTTCTTCTAGGCTATCAAATGGACCTGGTGGATCATCCAGACAAAGAAATTCTCTTACTGCAAGGCTTTCCAAAGGAAAAAAAATTTAGGGGTACAAATAAGTTTACAAAAGATAGAAAAAAGCAAGTTACTTTGAAGCTATACAGTATTTGAAGCAAGTTGTTTCTGCTGATATACCAAAATAAGTTAGTTGGACTAACCAAATACAAATATAAAATCTATAGAAGACACAAAGATTTTTAAGTTATTTTCTAAGATCTTACAAACATAAATAGAGATTGTGAATTTACGTTACATACAAACTACAGGACATAAAACATAATTCAGAATAATGGTACAGGAGACCAATCTAAATGATGAATAGACACTTTATTACTTTCAAAGAAATATTAGTTTGAACAAGTCTAAAAAAGTCATTATCTTATTATGAAGAAACACAATTTCTAATGTATACTTCCTTTGTTTCTTCTTCAGGAGATGCTTCTAAAGTAATTGAAAAGTACTTACATTGAAACAAGTTAAAGATTTTTTTTGCAATCATGTTTATTATATTAATTTACTCAGATATTTTCCCTAGAGAGTACAAGAGAAGAAATTCTCACCATCCCATTTCTGAACTGCCATAAATTTCAAAATAATGAAATAATATGGTATTGTTATACTTATACCTTGCAATTATCAGAAATAGGTTAAGAGAGTAGAAAACCAAACTTCTTTGTTACAAAAATACTCTCCTTTCTAAAAAGCAATTTTAGTAACATTTTTATGTTCACAAATTAATTATAGGAATGATGCTGCTAGGAAAGAAAAAGTGGGAAAGAAATGTATGTATCTTTCTTATACCTGTGGTTTATAGTAGAAATGTAGCCCAGGATCAACAGTGACACTGAAAATGTACGCAGCTGCAGGAATCTTTTTTTGGAGTGGCTACTCTATTTCATTCTCCCTCCCTAAAAATCTTTATGATCTACGGCTCACTAGAATTCTACTCAAATGAAATCCAATGGATTTCCTAAGTTTTTTTCAATACAGTTCCAAAGTTATAGTCCATGCCTTACTTTCTTTAATCTGTATCATAAGAGAAATTTAAAACTCCTTTACAACTTTGATTTACAAAACACTTTTTCTGTGGTTCACTACATTTCTTCTGTTTCAACAGGACTCAGTTAGTAGAGCAAGACACACGATACTCTCAAGCTTTATTCCCATCCAAGGAGAGGGATAATAATGTGTAAGAAAACTATTTCTTTCTCAGAAATTCTGATACCTTTTCTTTTTTCTAGAAAAGGAAGCCCTTACCCCGGCTTGAGAATCACTGACTAGAGAACTTTATTTAAATTTGATAAATATTTGACTGCCTGTATGTGCCATGGTTCTGCTCAGTGATCTTCTATATATTATCAATGTATGACTTATAAACCAATCAAGTGAATTCAAGTAAAATATAAACACCAAAGAGTCTATATTATTAAATGGTCTATGGATTAAATACAAGTCAATTGTTAAAATAAAGTCTTACTTTTTTTTTTTCCTTTACTTGTTCACTGATAGGTTCAATATAGCCCCCTAAACTCTCTTCTGTATTCAATCTTTAATACTTTTGCTCCCATTTCATCATGATAATGAATAGGTAAGAAAATCATCAGGATAAGAGAGAAATCTATCTGACTAAGAGAAAATCCAATAATCTGGAATTAAAAGGTAAGGAAAGACTATATCTTTCTATTTCCTTTAGAGTACCTTTTCAGTGTGTTTGGGAAAACTCTATTTTAAAATTGGGCTCAGTTGTTGACTTAACTTGCCTGAAGATAAGGAGACCAGGGATGGTATCCTTCAGTATTGTTTTTATTATCAGAGCAAATTTGCCCCATAACTTAAACTCTTCCTTTGATTCTCTTCAAAAAGGGTTCTTTAAAAGTTTTACTGTACTTTCAAACTTTTTAAAAAACTATTTCATCCAGCGAATCTTCATTTTCTATTTACTTTTATATTTTCCTCCTTTTTTTCTTTCACAGGTATATCTGTTTACATTTCATAAATTTTTTTAAAAGAACAGTAATTTAATAGGTAAATGTGCTCTTTATCTCAAAAATTGTGTTTTAAATGAGAAAAAAAAACCCTAAAACTAATGCCTACAATTCATTAAAAGGTCAACTAGAAACTAAGTAAAAAATGTACTAAAAATCCTAGATACTAATTCTGTCAAAACCAAATTAGGCAAAAAAAGTCATTGCATGAAAATACTACTGAGGGATTTCAGATAGAAATATTATATCAGTTAATATTTTTTTCAGTATTCTCCATCAGTTAAAAGAAAATAACAAAAAACTGACATTAAATACAAGCCCGAGGAAAAGGACTCAGGCAGGGATCAAGGCTGGTGACAGTGACGGTCACAAAGTAGGAGAGGTGGTGGGTGTGAGGCTGAAGGGCTCTGGCTTAGCCTCCTGCAGTGGCTGTGAAGGCCTGGAAGTGGGGGCCTAGTTTAGACCTTGACCATCTCTCACCTAGTTTCTTTTAGCACACTGTGTCCCTACCTTCAGTTATATTCCTCTAATCCAGAATACTTCAAAAAACAAATGTTTTATGTCAAATCCAGCTTAAAACCCATCTATTCCTCCTCTAGGAATAGGGAACAAAGCCAAGATCTTGGTGTTGGCATAAAGCACCTGCTTACATTCAAGTTTTAACTGCCTTTCTCATTCGACACCTCAGGAATGGTGCATCCTCATTTCTATCACGCTGTTTCCTGCTTCCATGCCTCTACTCACGCTTGCTGCTATTATCCTGGCCCATCCTTCCCGCCTTTACCTGGCTAACTCATAGTTATTCTTCACGACTCAGCTCATCTATTGTCTCCTCATGGAGTCTTCTCTGACTAGATCCCCTTTCCCTACCCTCTTACTAGGTTCAGTATTCTCATATGTATCACCATAGCACCCACAAGAGATCTCTTTCACAGGACTTATTACGCTGTATTATTAGTATTGTCTGTTTACCAAGCTGTCTGCTTCACCAAAAGCTAGATGACAAGTTCCTGAACGGTGTAGACCATATCTGAATCAATTAGCACAGCAGAAAATAAGTAGTCAACAAATAATGAATTTATTTGTAAGAGCTAAGCAATTAGGAAAAAAATTAATAAAACTATTAAGAGCATCAGAACAAATTTCTATCCACTGTTGTGGATAAACACTATACCACAATTCTCAAATTTGAGGTGGATTTTAGTTTTCAGTAGATACTCCAACCTTCACAAGAAAGCAAGCCTAAGACTGCAACAAGACCAAAAGTCTTAAGAGTTAAAAGAATGTTAGAATCTGGCTATTTCCGATGGTATGACTCCAAGATTCATAAAGAAGCACAAGAAAAAGAATCAAGATATGAAAAATTTAGAGTCGAAAGGGAACTTTTAGAGAACATTTACCTAATCACCTAATTTTCCAATTGAAGACACTGATCAAAATCAGTTAAGTAACTGGCTAAAATTACGTCACTACTAAGCCCAGAAAACAGAATTTTGTATACGGTCTCTAAGACCCACTTAATTAAGTAAGAGTTTACATGTATCTGAATACAAAATATTTGGCTTTATTGCATTTTTAATAACTGTCCATAACTGAATGTCTACCAAACTAACATTTTGGTAGAAACTAACATCCAACCAACCTTAGCAATAATGTGTTGATTCTCATGAGCTAGAATTATATGACCTACTGCATCTCTAACTGAATTCTTCTTTCCTTGTATAAAAATACCAAGGCTAACCCAACTTCTCTTGATAATATCTTTATATAGAAAAACAACTTAACTATCTCCTGTGAGAAGATGGTTCAGGTTGAAAATGTCTAAAAAAATAGTTTAAGCATTCTTGTTCAAGAATTATAGAATTATTGACTTTTACAACTGAAAGAAACCTAAGAAGTCACCTAACCCAATATATCCCACTTAATAATTCCCTCTTCAATACCACTGATAGTTATCTAGCCTCTTCAAATACGTAAGGGAAAGAGAAACTCACCTTCTCAAAAGGCAGAACATTTTTATGCTAAATATTATTTGATTAATCCTTCTCCCCATCACAATCTTTCAAATATGTGAAGATGGCTATCATATCCCCCATGTACTTTTTTTTTTTTTAAAGGGTAAATATTCTAATTTCTTTCAGTTGTTCCCTCATGTAAATGTTTGGATACTATTTTTTTCTTTTTAACCATGAACTGCTGTTAATTTACCAGATCCATTCTAAACTTTTTTTTTTTTTTTTTTTACAGAGATAGAATTTAAAACACTGAATTTTGGCACTGAAGCCCTTATAGATGAATGGTAATATGAGTAAAAAATATATAATTTAACCCTTGTATTTTAAAGAATTAAAAAGGAGGAAAAATTTGGTGAATCAGGATATATGTGTAGTACTTCTGAAAATGGAGAACAGTAAAATATTTGCTGTGCTGATTAAACAATGTAACAATTTCAAAGTAGCACAAGACAGCATAAAACAATAAACAGCTATATTTTAACTATAAGAGATTGTGCAGTATAAGACTCTCCCCCTCCATCCACCTTTACATTTCCTTCTCCTTGACAAACTGAGTTACACGCCGTTCCTGGCGCACGACCTGGGCCTTCTTGCGTCTGCATTTTGATATGATATTCCCTTTCATCTGCCAAGTCCTTCCTCACCTTTTCTGTCAGTCTAAATATCATTAATTCTTTAAAATCCAGCCCGAATGTCACTCTCACGGGAGCCTCCTCTAATTCTCCCAGTCAAAAGCTCTCTCTCCTCCTCCTCTGAACGAGATCTAACTCTACCCATTAGAGTTTTCTCCGGTGCTTCTTTCTACTGTTCGGTTTTCTTGAATAAAGGATCAGCATCTAACGCATCCTTATGCAGCTACAATACCTTATATATAGTAAGACCTCAACAAATATTTATGGAACAGACAAAATCAATCACTCCTTTAACCAGGAGAATATTAATGTTTTTATCTGTTTTCTTACTTTGTATTTTCCAAATGCATCTGAAAGTAATATTCTCTTAAAACATTCAAACCAACAATCCCTAACATCCTTTCAGTTCTTATTTTCTCCCACTTCTGCTTTGTTACAGTTAGAGAGGTTGTACTGTTAAAGCTGCCAGTTGCGTAACGGCAAGCTCTTAGCCAACATGAAGGTTAAGAAATAGCTGTGTTGTGAGGTGCTAAGGATATCAAAAAGGAAAGTGAAACAACTGTAGGAAGAATTAATATGAAATTACTGTTTGGCCATACAAAGATAGTAATTTTTCTATGTTGCCATTCCAACTGTAAGAGGATGCTAACATGTATACCAACAGGTAACGTACAACTAATCGGTGTTTTAAGTAGTGATTCTTAAATGTAGTTTATGTTGTTATAAAGAAGTACTGGGATTTTGTCTTTTCTCCCTTAGGAGAAATTCATAAATGGCTGTTCAGCAACCTCAGACTTTCTAGGTATCTTCTAATTATTTGTTTCTGACTCATATTTACCCTCCTCCCCATAATCTTAATCTAGCCTTCAAGGCTCTCAAATCCTACTTTCTACTTCTAATATTGCTTCATCACTGCAAAAAGGACCGACTGTTCCCTTCTCTGAGTTCCTGCTACTTTTATAATCTGTATCATACCAAGAAGCATTTCATAAACTCCCTTATTTTGTTTAAACAGAAGCCTAATTTCTTCAAATGAATTTTAAGACCAAGGAGTATATCTTCTTCTTTCATACCCTTCTTGGCACGACACAGGGCAGATACTTAAGATACAGATTAATAACTCTTCTTCCCCTCCCCCCACCGTGCTTTAAATAATAATTTATTAAGAAATTTAATTGTGAAATAAAAAATGCTACCCTTGACCCACAAAAAAGATAGCGCGTACCCTAGAATAGACAAGGCCTAAATACCTTATTTCAAGTTCAAGTTATCTTACAGCATTCCCTAAATGTCTGATGACATGATGTGACAAAAGTAAGAAGGCAAATAACATAAGGCACACTAGATCCTTTCATGCGAGACTTCTTGGAACCTTTAATACTGTAGGAATGTCAAATGAAACCTTTCCCCAACTTATCTGGCCAAGAAATCTTTCTTTCCCTGAAACATCTGTTTATGAACTGAGCAAGACTACTACCTCTGTTCTAAAGTGTGCAGCTTCAGAAATAACAGGATCTCGAAAGTCCCTAGTAACGCCTACCTTAGAGATGGAGATCTATTATCAGGAATTAAAAAAAAAAGATGCATCTCAACTAAGATAAACTTTCACTTTTTAAAAATATCAAGAAATCACAGAAGTAGTTTATTAACATGGTTCATATTATTTAATATTTAATATTTCATTAGATGAAAATAGAAGATAGTCCTTTATAGAAAAAATTTGATTTTAAGTCACCAGAACGCTTTCAATACATAAAGGTTTACTGAATAAGGGACGAAAGAAAGGGGATAAGACGTGTTGACTTCTTAGCTGTAAAAGTATTCATTTATGGTATGGTCTAAAATATATTTTCTTCAAAGGCTTTCCCTATGATTTCAGAATTTGTTGGTTTTTATTCTTTCTTCGCGTATCTGAATTAACACTAACCTTTTTTTCTTTTTTCTTTTGAGATGTAAAAAAAAATATAAAAAAGTAGGGGGCACCCATGTTCGCACCACCTAGAACACACAACTGCTAAGTTTTGTCATATTTGCTTCTATCTTCTTTTCTTATAAACAGTACAATAGCAATACCAACCGTTCTGCCCTTCATTCAACAAGTACTGAGCATGGGCTCTGTGTTAGCACTGTGCGAAGCAGTGCACGTTGACTGGTGAGTAAAACAGCCACACAACCTACTATTATGTATGTACCTTACAAACTGGTAGGAGAAACAATCAATCACAGAAATAGTTACAAACTGAAATGCTATGAAATTAAAGTACCAATCAGCCTTTCTTAGTTGGGATTCCATGAGAGAATTAGACCCTACTGACAATGATTTGAGTGACTATTTTCTCAATTCTCTCATGACTGGTACATAGCTAAGTACAGAGTTAATTCATACATACAACGCGTGTCTTAGGCATTAGGAGTTGATTCACAGAACCAGTTGAGAAGGGCTGGTACAGACACTGTGAGAAAGAACTGACCTAGTTTTTAGTGATGGTGGTGGTGGGTGAGGGATTGGTCAGGAAAGCCAGTTACCTAAGAAGGGAAGTTTTTATTAAAATCTGAAGGATATACAGGAGTTATCTAGGCCAGGGCCAAGTGAGATAGTAGTATGAAACACTGCCTTCCAGGGAACAGAATATCTGAAGGCTCTAAGGGACAAAGGAGCAAGGTGATTTTGGAAAATTAAAAGACCAATACAGCTGATGTACAGAGAACGGGGGCAGGGAGGAATAACAAAACATGACGTTGGAAAGACAGGCAAGTAGGCAGAGACCAGAAAGAAAGACAAACTATGTTACAAAAGATCACTATTGCTCAACAGGCTGCAGAAATAAGAGTGGATAGATGAGAAAGATCAGCAGGAAAGCTTCTGCAGGAATTACGGTGAGAGATGACTGCTCAGACTAGGTTGGTGATGGCAGGAATGGAAAAAAGCAGACAGATTTGAGTGGAATTTAAGACGCATAGGAAAGGATAAGGGTAGTGAGGGACATGTCAAGGATGACTCCCAGGTTTGGGTAGATGATGCTGCTGAACATGGGGGGAGAGTGTAGACAGTAAGCTTTTCAGTCTGTGTTAGGTTTGAGGTCAATTTGAGATACTCGAAGCAGATGTCAAGCACACAATTGCATATGTGAATCTAGAGCTGAGAGAAGGGGTCTGGGTGCAGCTCCTTTCATAGAGGAATATGAGCAGGGACGGGCAGAGACCTCCAACAGCCATGAAGCTCAGGGAGCACACATTCAGAAGCAAGATGTACATGCACAGTGTCTGTGTGTTACGTATAACATAAGGTGACACACATTAAAAAAAACTGAGAAACAAGGGTAGAAGAAGTGAGATAGGATGATTTTCTTAATTGTTTTCCATTCTATGTGAAAAATTGCTACAGACAGTTATAGGTATCTCTACAATATACTGTTGCTACCTTGTAAATGCCCTTTTTTTTTGAAATAGTTCTAATTTATGACTTAAGATAATGTAAGTTCTAAAATTAGATAGCCAGCTGATATTGAATCATAAAGCAATTTTCTTGTAAATACATTCAGAAGCAAAAAAACCCATACAGATCCCTTCTCTCCCTTTTTAGTGGTTTTTGGTATTTTTCACTTTATCCTCTAAATAAACTAACCCAACTTCACAATTTTCGTATTTTTGCATTACTTTGGAGAAATATAAAGAATATTACCCTCAAAATTATATAGTGTCATATTAACCATATTAATGTGGGCCATTTTGTTTAAATGATTTCTAAAACACTAAATATTAAAATCAGGTTCACAATTGAGTGGTTTGAGTATACAGAACACTGAGTTTTTAACTTTGCTAACTTTCTTAAAGTGTTAATACACAGCAAATGCCAAATAAATTTTACTGAAAATACACAAGAAAACTCCACACAATGCTTTACTAGAAAGGACAAATAATTATAATCCTACCCTATATTTTTATGCTTGAATAACTATGGTCCTGGGTCTAGTCTTTAAACTAGTTGTAGAATGCATTGATAACCTCTTATTTCAATTTGTTACATACCAGTTGGCAATGTCCTTGTGAGCTACTAAATTTTGAAGAAAAGCTTGTAATCCTAATTGTCTATCTTCTAAAAAGTTGGCATTGTAATTATCTTTGAACCAGCGTTTTGGTGGAAGTGCTAATCGAAAGCCTGGAAACATCTCTTTTAACTGAAAAAGAAGAAAAAGGAAAATACAATGTTCAACTCAATTATATCAGCTCTACAAAATCTATCCTGTTGACTATGTAAAATTATTCATGAAATAAGTTTAAAATAAAAGAATTAAATTCAGCTAAGCTTTTTATGCCTTGATTGTTTTACTTCTTGATTTCTACCAGTTGTGTATACATACAAGTTACAGTTGCTCCACATTCTTGCCAACACTGGGCACTGTCTGTCTTTTTAATGTCAGCTGTTCCAGTACGTGTGCAGTATTTCACTGTGGCTTTAATTTGCATTTCTCTGTTGACAAATGATGTTAAATATCTTCTTGTGTGCTTATTTGAATCTGCATATCTTCCTTGGTGAATTAGCTATTCAAATCTTCTGACCTCTCCATTTTTTTTTTTTAAATTGGGTTATCTATCTTTTTATTAAGTTGCAAGAGTTCTTTATATATTCCGGACACAAGTCCTTCGTCAGATATACGTATAACAATTATTTTCTCCCAGGCTGTGGCCTGAGTTTCATTTTAACAGTCTTAACAGAGCATATGTTTTTAACTTTAAATTTATCCATTTATCTAATTTATCCATTTTTTTCTTTTATGGTTTATGCTTTTTTTAGATTATAGCTAAGAAATCTTTGCTCACTCCAAAGTTGTAAAGATATTTTTCTATGTTTTTTCTTGGACATTTATAGTTTTAGCTTTTACATTTTGGTTTAGGATCCATTTTGCATATCCGGCTTAACTTTTACTTTCTTAGCAAAGATTTTTCCAACCTTCTAAGCTACGTTAGATTTCCCTTTATACGCTCTGTTCGAGTGACTATAACTGTGTAACAAGTTACCTCAAAACTCAGTGGTATAAAACAACCATTTATTAGGCATGGACTCTGTGGGTTAGTAATTCATACAGGGCACAGTGAGGATGGCTTATCTCTGTTCCACAATGCACTGGGACCTCAGCTGGAAGACTTGAAGGTGGGAGCTGGAATCATTTGAAGTTCACTCCTGCATATGTACAGTAAATGAAGCTGGTTGTCAGCTGAGACCTTAGCTAGGGATGTCAGCCACAAGCCTAACATGGCCTCTTCAGGTGTCTTGGACTTTCTCACAGCAAAGAGGGTGGATTTCAAAGGAGAGCCTTCCAAGAAGGCCAGGATGAAGCTGTACACTTCTTATGATCTAGCCTAGTCACACAGCATCATTTCACTGTCCTCTATTGGTTGTAGTCACACCCAGGTTCAAGGGGGAAGGGAAAGAGATTCTATCTCTGATGGTCAGTGGCAAGATTCTGGAAGAACACATGGGATTGAAAATATTGCTGTGGACGTTTTTAGAAAAGACAACCTGCCACACAGTCTCAAATCATTAATTTATTTTTTAAATGGCATTTATCACAATGTAAATAACATTTATTTAATTCTGGACTCTCCTACTAGACCTGTGATTCTAAACCTTGGCTGCACATTGGAATCACCCAAGGAACTTCAAAAGATATCAATGACTGTGTCCTATCTCTCACAGATTTGGACTTAATTAGTTGGCATGTGGCCTGGGCACTGTAATTTAAAAAAGCTCTCCAGGGAAGTCCAAAGTACAGCTAAGACTGAGAACCATTTTACTACACTGCAACAATTATGCCTTACTCATAGCCGCATCCTCAACATCTAGCATAGTGCCTGCTACATTACAAGCAGTCAACAATCTTTGCTCAATAAATGATGAATGAAATGAAACCATCTACATTCACATTCCTATACTCATATATAAAGCTAAATATCACATGGTAATAAAAAAGGCTAGCAAAAGGGAAAAATACACAGGGTAAAATGTTAAGTAAAAATATAAAATATAACATTCTGTCTATATTCCTATAAATATGTAAAGATAAAACTAGAAAGTAACTTGGACAACTGAAAACCCTGATTTGATTTCAAGATATAACTAGATATTGTTGGCCTTAGAGTTTTGTTATTTAACGTGTTTGCATGAAAATAATAAAAGCCATAAGGAGGAAAAAAAATAGTCTTTTATTAATTTTAAGCTTTAAAATTTAAATATCACATATGTCCACATGTATGGTTATTTTTTTCCTTTAAAAAATTATCCTCAGAAGAGGGGATTGTTCCACAATTGAGTCCTCACAAAGTCTTCATTTTACGGGTACTTACTCATAACTTTATTTTGAACAAAGTACAATTTGAGGACTACATATTAGCTTGTTAACTTTAATAAAAGGTAGTTTTCATATTTCATTAAATTAAAACATTTATACATCTCTTAGAAAAATGACATCATAATAGGCATTTGATGGTTCTACAAACAAACCTTCAAAAAATAATGCATGTGTTTTTGGGATTAAGATGGAGAAATGAGTACATTCATCTAATTCTGTATTTCTGTAGCCCCACAAAAACTATAGTGAAGAGAAAGACATATAAAACAATATACTGGAAACTAAAAAGGTAGATGGCCAGCCGTGGTGGCCTAGTGGTTAAGTTCGGCATGCTCCACTTCAGCAGCCTGGGTTTAGTTCCTGGGTGCGAACCTACATCACTCGTCTGTCAGTGGCCACGCTGTGGTGGCAGCTCACATACAAAAAGAGGGAGACTAGCACAGATGTTAGCTCAGGGAAAATCTCTCTCAGCAAAAAAAAAAAAAAAAAAGTCTCGAGAGAGACGAGTGGTAATTGACTCAGTGGAGCCAAGAAAACCCTCAGTGTAGGAAAATGCATACCAAGTTTATACTACAGAAACTTCAAATTGCTCAGCAACTGGCAGCACAAGGCAGGAGACTGGAAAACACTTCTCTGGACAGTCTGATCAACCCAAGAAGAATGACCTAAAGATCCTGACATCAGAAATTCTCTGAGAATGGCCCACCTCCGTCACCCTCCAATGAAGCTTAAAGTCAACATAAGCCTCATCCATGGACTAGGGACTCCAATCAGCTTTTAGTACCAACTTTTAATCATGACCAGACAACCAAGAATTACTATATAGTTACTCTTTAACATGGAAGACAAAGACAAACAGAAAAAAGTGGCTGAGAAAAAGATACCACAAGGAGAACAAGACATGAAAGAATAAAAAATACAAATAAAAAATAATCACTAACGTATTCAATGGATTAAGATATTACATTCAAGAAATAAGATGACAAAAAAAAGGGACACTCAGAGAATAAAACATGCTTTTAGAAAGAAAGAGATAAGGAAATCTCCTCCAAAACAGCAAAAAAGAAAAAGAGAATTCAAAAGGGGAGGAAAAGACAAGGAATCAGCCCAAAAGGTGTATTTTATAAAAGAAGTTACAGAAAGAGAGAACTGAGAACACAGAATGGAGGAATTCATTAACAAAGCAATTCAAAAATATTTCTCTGATCTAAAGGACCATGAGTTGCCAAATTGAATAAGGCCACTGAGTGTCCAAGAGAACAGAAGAAACCTACAAAAAAATTGTGAAATTTCAACTAATTACACAGAAAAGATTCAACAGCAACACTCTATACTAACAGCAAGATGACAATAGCTTAATGACTTCAAAATTCTGAAAAAAAAAAAAAATTATTTCCAATCTAGAATTCTGTAGCTAGCCCAAACTTCAATCAAGTATGAGGACAAAAGGAGAATAGTTTTAGACATACATGGGTCTAAAAAAAAAACATCACCTCCCACGTACTTTTCCTCAAGAAGCTACTGGGGGATTAGTTCTACTAAAAGGAAAGAGTAATTCAAAAAAGAGGAAGACATGGGATAGAGGAGACAAGATCCAACAAAGGAGAGAAGTGAAAAAGTCCCCAGAAAGACACTGAGAGGCAATCTCAGGACACCACTTATGAACTACAAGATGAGATGAATCCCTTCAGGGCAGCGTGACCCAAGAGACAGGCATGCTGAGGATTATCAGTGAATTTCTTTCTAATGTGAGGACTGAATGCCTGGTTGAGCCTGGCTCAGATTTTCATACGAACTTGGCCGGTCCTGACAATGAGCTGATAACGGTTCTGCTCCCTCCCTATGCTCTGCTGCCTGGAACCAACTGAGAATCATTTTACCTCACAGAAGTGTTCAGTTTTGACCTACTTCTGTGACCTGCATGTAGAAAATAGCAAGCTTTTAAGTAGAACACAGAAAAACCCACTTCTCGTGGCCGTATTTCTACATCACCCAGCCTGCCCTGCAACTCTGCCAGATGCCTCAACTCTGATAGCCTCTGTGTGTTCCACAACTTGCTACCACTTTGTCCTCTGACTTCCTGAGAAGAGGCTCTTACAAACTCCCAGAGAAGCTGAAGCCAGATTATAACCCAGGAGACTGAAAAAAGAGGACGGAAAAAAGATTAGTGTTCTACAGAAAATTTCCTCTTTCTAACCAGTGTTATTTAAACTATGTTCAATAATTTTCATATTGTCAATTGACTGTTTTTTCCCTCATTATTACAGATAAGTGGGGAATGTAAATTCCTTAAAGTTAGGATCACACCTATATAGTTTCTATATAATCCCAAATTCCTAGAACAATGCTGAACTCAAACTACTCATTTCATAAATACTTCACAATTGGTTTTATAAAATTAAAGATCCTAAAATTTTAACTTTATTTATAACGACTATAAAAATAACAACTACAGTTTAACCTGTGTGCCTGCTGGTGTTTCACACACGTTTCTGATTCTTGCCAGTAAAAGCAGATAGTGGGTAGGGCTCTTTCTGGTACCTGGAAGACTGACATAGACACTTATTAATTTTTAAATGCCCAACTTGGAGCATCAAGGAGATATTTACTGGATTTAAATTAAACTCCTACTAACATCTTTCTTCAAAAGCTTAAGAGTTATTTAAATCTCAACTTGCCTAAGATAAGAAATATTTTAGCAATAAAGATGAACCTAGAAAGATAAAGGAAAGTAAACACTAAATAACAATTGAGCCCTGAAAAGAAAAATAATAAGTCGTAAAGGATTAAATAGTTCTATATTGAAACTGTTAGAAATTAATCTATGTGAACAAAAATTATAATAATTTCATAAGAAAGCTAAGAAATCCACGAGTATCTGGTAACTTCATGAATTACTCTGATTTTGTTTGTTTAATCATTAAAAAAACCCAACAGAAGTACAGAATTATACGTTTTTAATTCATCAGTGTAATATAAGAACTTCTGAACAGTAAATAAAATTCATATATAATGGTAGAAACACATTATAAATAATACTTTAAGTATTTTGGCATACTACAAAAAGTCATCTTAACAATACCTTAATAAAGGATAAAATAGCTTAGCATTTTATATTTTACTTTTTCATTCAAACTGAGGTTTTCAGAATGGCATAAACTTGGCAGCCAGGCAGCTACAAAGTCACATAAATGGGGTTTCCCACCCAAATATTATAAGAATATATCAACTTTAGAAGTTCTGAGTAGTCCAGGAAGGGGGAGGGAGAAGGTGGCAGATGGGAGAGAACAGGACCAGTAGTTTCTTCCACTAAACACCTGTCAAAATTTGGGAGTAATTTCTGGTCCAAGGTCACCTTACTTGGCTTCTCAGAAGCATCATAAACCACCTGCTTCTTTTGGAAAAATGCTCTTTCTCTTGGTTTCATAAAATACCAACTACCCATCTGCCTCATTTGATTCCCTCTAGCTCTACAAACAGCTTAGCTTCTCTTTCTCTATTACATTCTTACTGCAATTTACTCAATCAACTCCATACTGTTGGAAATGTAGGTTGGTTCTAATTTTTAACTATTAATAAACAAATTAAAACACAGACCAAGAAAACAACAATAAATAAAACACCGTGATAAATACCCTTAGAGCTAAATCTTGCCCATATCTGTGATTTCTTATATAGGATAAATCCCCAAAATGTGATTATTGTGTCAAAATTATGCATAACTGTAAAGTGTACTCTAGGAAAATTCCTACTTCCAACAGTAGATAATACCATTTAAATGTCTGTCAACTTGACAGATGAAAAATAGTTTCTCAATTTTCTTTTCTTAGAGTACTTGTGATATTAAATGTTTTCCAAATTTATTGTTCGTTTACATTTATCCTGTGGATTTCCTTGTTCATATCATTTGTTGTATTTTCTACTTTTGGGTTTACTTTTTTTGTTATTTATTTTTAGGGGTTCTTAATATATTGATGTTTATTATTATCCTCTCTGTTTCATATGTGCAGTAAGCAGAGTTCTAGATGGCTCCATGACCTCTACCCCTGGTGTTGCTTCTGTCATTTTATGTTACACAGCAAAAGGAATTCTGCAGGTGTAATTAGGGTTACTATTCAGTTGACCTTAAGCTAGGGAGATTATCTGGGTGAGCCTAACCTTATCATATGAGCCCTTTAAAAGTAGAGCTTTCTTCCTGCTTGGTGGCAGACGAGAAAGTCAGAGAAAGGCAAAGCACAAGAAGGATCTGACCCACTGTTGCTGGCTTTCGAGATGGAGGGGCCATGTGCAAGGACTGGAGAGTGGTCTCTATGAGCTAAGAACCACCTCTGGCTGACAACCAGCAAGGAAGCAGGGACTTTGGTCTTACCACCACAAGAAACTGAACTCTGCCAACAATCTGAACCAGCCTGGAAGCTGGTTCTTTCCCAGATCCTCCAGATAACAGCCCAGTCCAGCTAACCTCTTGATTTTGACCTTGTTTGGCTCTAAGCAGCAAACCCAGCTGAGCTCACTGATATCACTAGCTAACAGGTGTGTTTTAAGTAACAAAGTTGGTGGTAATTTGTTATAAAGCAACAGAAAACTAATACAATATGTTAAAAACTTTTTTTGTTCATTCTCTTGTAGTCATGATTTAGTCTTATAATATACATCCTTGTCAAGCTCACAAGATTATATAAATAACCATTTATATTTCTGCTAGCAATTTTAAGGTTTTCAAATTTTTATAGTAAAAATAATTTTTTATTTCCCAAAAAAGAAATTTATGCATAGAGATGGGACTTCAGGCTACTAAAGTGCAATGAAACAGTTAATTTTCTTAGGACCTAGCAAAGATTTAACTTCACTCAATTAACAAGGAAGAAAAAACACAAATATAACAGAATTGTCAGGAACAGATAATAATTCAAATTTGAAAAGTCAGTTTTCAATTTATTAAAATACTTACTTTATCATTAAGCCTAGAGAAGTCAGTGTATCTCCTGAAAACTATCCAGCTTTCTTCTGGGGTTTTCTTTACTAGTATTTTATATACCTATGCAGAGAGAAAAAGAAAGAATTTAAAATATCTATCTATCTATCTATCTATATACACATATATATGTAGAGATATTTAAGAATTCAAACCAAATGTTTTTAAAACTTTTACTTAACAACCCAGATCATAACGATTATTATGTAAAAAAATCAGAAATTATTTAGACCATCAAATGTACAAATAATCAATGTAGGCTCCAAAAGCAAGCTTTTTTTCCTTAAGAAACATGACTATGACAAATTTGAGACAAAATGCTTTTCTTTTTTTTTTTTTTGTGAGGAGATCAGCCGGGTGCTAACATCTGCCAATCCTCCTCTTTTTTTTTGCTGAGGAAGACTGGCCCTGGGCTAACATTCGTGCCCATCTCTTCCTCCACTTTATACGGGACGCTGCCACAGCATGGCTTGCCAAGCAGTGTGTCAGTGCGCGCCCGGGATCCGAACTGGCAAACCCTGGGCCGCTGCAGCGGAGCGCACGCACTTAACTGCTTGCGCCACCGGGCCAGCCCTCAAAATGCTTTTCTGGTGAAGACTAATAATAAATAAACTCATCAGTTTCCAAAATATATTTTATGCCAACATATTCTAAAATTGATAAAATAATCAATCATGATTGAAAAAGCTATGAAAATAGTCACTCTTGTCCTGTACAATTAATTTAACTTTTAAACTCAATAACTATGAAGCCAGGTTTTCAAATAAATCTGATGTTGTTTTAATCTTCAAGGCTGAAATATAAGCTAAAAAATTCTCATATTAGATAAAGGTTCATATCGCTATAATTATGCATAATTATCTAGGCCATTGAACAGAAAAATGTGGTTGAAGCAAGTCAGTATTTCAAAAAGCATATAATAAAAAACCAGATTCTATTTTTCATAAGTATAATCTTAGAATTTATTACGAGGAAGTACTATTTATAACAGAATCTCAGAGATTCTGTCATACACCTCCTGGTAGTTTTTGGTACAGTATTTTGGACTAAGCTAAATACATGGTACGTATGAAGTACTCAATTAACTATCTGTCCAACGAGTGAAACTTGCTTAAAACGAGTAACTTTTTCTCTGAAGTCTGCTGAGCAGTGAGTTTCCACTGTAGCTCTAGAGCTGTACGTGGCCACCAAACACTTGAACTCTTGACTAGTCCAAACTGACATGAGCTGGGAGTGTACAAAAACACACCAGATTTCAAAGACTTAATATGAAAAATGATGTAAAAATAGTTCATTAAAATGGTTTTATATTGATTACATATTGAAACGATCATATTTTGGATATATTAGGTTTAATAAAATATGGTATGAAATATAATTTCATCTGTTTCTTTTTACCTTTTTTAACATGGCTACTAGGAAATTTTAAATTACAAATACAACTCACATTTGTGGCTCACATTATAGTCCTACTGGATGCTCCAGAGACAAGTCATTATTTAGGGACTGTAGATCATCCTACCATTCGACTTTTCTCCCTTATAGACTTCTCTTTCAGCTTTTAAGGGGGAGAATCAGTAAGGGTTAAGGCTGAATCCTTTAGTTTTGAAGTAAGACACAAGTAATTTATCTTTGTAACATATAAAGGTGAGGAAGATTATTTGGATACCCTTTCAAGTCTCCAGAAAGTCCTGATCTAAGATAGTCACAAAGAGGATACAAAGGAAACACTCTTTTTAGGAGCTACTAACTCAAATCAAAGGGATAAATGGACATCAAAACTTCTGAGTATAACCGAGGCATGATAAAAGTCAACTTCATATGATAATTAGGTTTATCTACACATAATCCATATTGACTTTATTTGCCTGTTTTAAAAAATGAACCCTCCCTTCTAACTAAGCTATTCTCCACAGTGGCCTCTGAACACTCCTGTTTCTCTAGGGAAGACAAAGTACGGATTTCTCGTTTTATCTTTTCTAGAAAGCTCTCCTGCCTTTCTACTCGTTTAACTAGTGGTTTCAATGAAAACTTTATAGACAGTATTGATCATTTCCTCCTTTAACAGCAGTTATTGTTTCTATTCTTTATTTGAAAATTAGTATATACTACTTTGTACTATCTTTTTATGTAGTTCTTGTTTGAGGACTTTTAAGTAGATTATAACATATGCAGAAGCATACACTGGATTATAAAATACATACAGAAAAGTGCCAAAATCATAAGTATACAACTTAATGAATTTTCACAACATAAACACATCCATTAACTAGTACCAAGACCAAGAAACAAAACCTCACTAACCGAAGAAGCCCACCTCATGCCTCCTACCCAATCCTACTCACCAATCCTAGTCAGTTTTTGTTTTTAAACACTTTTCAAAGACTTGACATTCTACATATTATAAGATCTCACCAGTCAATCCTAATACTTTCTTAAGTTAAGAGATCAATTCAAAGGAATATATCTAGGAAAATTTACTTTACAAACCTAAGACTCTCAAGCTTGTATCTCCAGCTCAGACCTCTCTGCTAAATTCAACTTATACATGTGCACACACATAATACATGTGTACACACTCACAAGCACATACACACACACACCTGACATCTCCATTTTGATGTCTAACAGACATCTCAAACCTAGCATGTTCAAAAACAAATCCTGATCATCCCCTCAAAACCTGCCATCTAATTAAATGGCAATCCTATTCCTCTCATTGTTTAGACCCAAAACTTTGGGATCATCTTTGATTTCTCTTTCTCCCACATCCCAAGGCTCTACTTCCAAAGTATATCCAGAATCTGATCACTTCTTAGGATCTTTTCCACCAGCCTGGTCCAGGCCACCATCACGTCTGCCGTGGATTACTGCAAGAACGTAACTGCTTCCTGCTTCCATTCTTCCCCCAGAAAACCCAGTCTCAATCCAGCAGCCAGAATGAACGTTTTAGAAATTAAGTCAGATCATGTGACTCTTCCTTTTAAAACCTTTTCAAAGATTCCCATCTCATGCAGAGTGAAATCTAAAGGCCTTACAATGGTCTCCACGCTCTACTTGATCTGGGTGTCACACTCTCTCGCCTTTACCTGTCATCTCGGTTCCAACATCTCTCCCCATTGCTTATTCTGCTGTCAGCCACAAGGGTCTCTGTAGCTATCCCATCTGTCTGGAAAGCTCTTTCCCCAGACATTGTCATGGCTCTCTCCCTTTAGTGCTAACATCTTTTCTGTGGGGCCATGACTGACAATGCTATTTAAATGGCAACTCCAGTTTCGGGGAGACTCTCTCTCTTTCCTCTTTTATTTCTCTCTGTAGGACTTATCACCATGTGACATACCAGTACTTTTAACAATTTACTTATCTATCGTTCATTCATTCAAGTTGCTGTACCATTATTACCTGGAAGAGCGCCTGGCACATAACAGGTAATCAAAAATATTAAATTAATGAATAAATGAATATGACTAATTTTATATCTGTCATTTACTTCTTCCTCTATGGCGTCTTGAAAGACTTCATATTTATATACCACTGCCTTAAATTTGCTGACGAACTTGCATTTTCACACACATCACCTCAATGAACACTCATTCCTTCATAATGAAGGCAGGTCAACGTAAAAAAATGAGCCACCAGTTTAGTATAATTTCCAAAATCACTCTCAAAAAAGTCAGGTCCATGCAGATTTCCCATCACATCATCAGTCTTATGATAGTTTAACTCTAAAGATTGCTTCTTCATAAATTATCTCAACAATTTTTTCTTGGAGGCTGTTCCATACTGTTGTAAAATTTTTTTTTTTTTTTCCTGAGGAAGATTTGCACTGAGCTACCATCTGCTGCCAACCCTCCTCTTTTTGCATGTGAGCTGCCACCACAGCAAGACCACTGACAGGCGAGTGGTGTAGGTCCGTGCCTGGGAACCAAACCCGGGCCGCCAAAGCAGAGTGCGCCAAACTTAACCACTAGGCCACGGGGGCTGGCCCCATACTGTTGTAAATTTACAACATGAAATGTTGAAGTAAAGATAAAAACTTTAGTTCAAGAATATCCAAGAGAAAGAACAAACTATTCAATTTATAAGTGAATTTAGCAAGGTTGCTGGATATATAAACACACATTAACATACAAGACCAAAACATATAAACTAGCAATGAACAAACAGAAAACAGAAAAACATATCAAGAACATTAAACATCCATACCTAGAAATAAATCTAACCAAAAGATGTAAGACCTCTGCCCTGAAAACTACAAAACATTATTAAAAGAAGTCAAAGACTTAAGTAATTGGATTAAGTTCATAGATTCAAAGACTGAGTACAGTAAAGATGTCAGTTCTCCTTCAGTCAGTCTATAGATTCAATACTATCCCAACGCAAAGGGCCAAGAACAGCCAAGACAATGCCAAAGAACAACCACCAAGGTAGAGTACTGAACCTACCAGATATCTAGACCAATCATAAAGCTTTAGTAACTAAGACAATGTGGAATTGGTAAAGGAAGGAAAAATGGGACACAGAAACAGACCCACACATTTACGTTCGCCTGACTTATGACACAGGCAACAATACAAATGCAGAGAAGGTACGGTCTTTTCAATAAAAATTCGATTACTTGATCCCACACAGAGGAAAAAAATGTGTTTTGACTGTTACTTCACACCACAGATAAAAATCAATTCCAGGTGGTTTACAGATCTAAATGTGAAAGGTTCAACGATAAAGTTTTTAGTAGAAAATATAGGATAACATCTTTGTAACCTGGGAGTAGGCAGATTTTAAAAAGTGCTAACCATAAAAGAAAAAAATAAATTGGACTATATTAAAATTAAGAACTTCTGTTTACCAAATGCATCATTAAGGGAGGGAAAGGGCAAACCACAGAGTGAGAGATGATAGTCACAGTACATGTTCCGAAAAAAGAATTTATGTCCAAAATGCATGGATAACTACAAACCAACGAGGAAAAGACTTCCCCAAAGGAAAATGAACAAAGGTCTTGAACAGACACTTCACAAAAGAGAATATCCAAATGGCCTAAAATGTCTTCAGTTTAGTCATTAAGAAAATGCAAGTTAAAACCACACAAGAGTGCTATCACTTTACCCACAAGAATAGCTAAATTGAAAAAGATGCAAAAATACCACATGTTGGGAAGGTGTGGAGTAATGTAACTCTCACACACTGCTTAAAGGAGAACTAGTACAGCAACTCTGGTACATTGTTCATCAGTGTTTTCTAAAGCTGGGCAGACGATGAAGCAATTTTACTCCCAGGCAGATATCAAACAGAAATGCGTACCTGTGTTTACTGAGTGACATGTACTAAAAGCTTCATAGCTGTAGCATTTGTAAGAGCCCCAAACAGGAAATTACCCAAATGCTCTTCAACAGCAGAATGGATAGATCAACTATAGTATATTCACATACAGGAATCCTATCAGTAATAAAAATGAGCCACCTGCAATTATATGCCAGATCCAGGATGAATCTTACAAACATAATGCTGAAGAGAAGAGACCACACCCCAGAGTACATACTCCATAATTCCATTTATAGAAAGTACAAAAATAGGCAAAATTAATCTAAGCTATGAGGAAAGTGGGAACTGACTGACACAGAGCATGCTAGGCTGGCTTTTAGGATGCTAGTAATGTTCTTTTTTTTTTTTTTTTTTACATACAAATGATATTTATTGCACCTTCGTAATAGCAAAATAAATGGAAATAAGTGAAATTCTCATCAAAAAGTACAGGTTAATAACTTTTGACACTTACATACAATAGAATACTAGGCAGACATGACACAGAAATATATGGGCTGATACTAAAACATCTCTCCACAGCTAGTAATGTTCTGTTACTAGATCTGTGTGCTAGTTTCAGAGGTGTGTCTGGTTTGTGAAAATTTGTTCAAGTAAAACAGAGCAAGACAAAATTTAGAAGTGTAAAAGCCATTCGAATTTTATGTTCAAGAAATTACAAGTATGGGGCGGCCTGGTGGCTTAGCAGTTAAGTGCGCACGCTCCACTACTGGCGGCCCGGGTTCGGATCCCAGGCGCGCAGGACGCACCACTTCTCTGGCCATGCTGAGACCGCGTCCCACATACAGCAACCAGAAGGATGTTCAGCTATGACATACAACTATCTACTGGGGCTTTGGGGAAAAAAAAGGAGGAGGATTGGCAATAGATGTTAGCTCAGAGCTGGTCTTCCTCAGCAAAAAGAGGAGGATTAGTATGGATGTTAGCTCAGGGCTGATCTTCCTCACAAAAAAAAAAAAAAAGAAATTACAAGTACAGGCTAACATTAATCAAATTAGCACAGGGTTAGAAGACAGGTTGGTCACACTTTCACTTTTTACTGGCGTACAGCACAAGCCAATACTCACAGTAAATTTAGCTCTTTCTTCCATCACCTCATAACCCAGGATGGTAGGTGTAGAAGGCCTATCTTCCAAATTTCCTGTCTCAGGATTCTGTTCTTCACTTTCTCTTGGTCTAGCAGTATACTCAATGGAAGAATCTGCACCTGTAAATTTAGTCCTAATGAGGGGACTGCTACAGATAGATGAGGTACTATCCATTTGATCAGGTACACTTGTCTGTCTAGAATTACCCATATTTGAGTCTTCTAAATGGCCTTTGGAAGAGTTTGAGCTTGTTGAGACACTGCCAAAAGAAGAACTTCTTTGGTTTCTGTTGGTTGTAAAACTGGAAGCAGCATTCCCTATGGGCATAGGAACGGGCACAAAAGGAGTCGCCATCTTCTTCTGGCCTCTGCAACACAGCTGCACACTGCACAGTCCAAACCCTTAGAGAACAATGAACACGCAATCCATTATTTTCTTCTTAGGAATTCACTATCTAAAAATGAGAAGAACAGATTGAAAGATTAGTCTTTAACCTGGAGCATTATCCAAAAGAAAACAAAATGTTCATACTCATTTCTTTTAATTTTGTGACACTCTTATTATTTTATCTGGAATGAAAACAGGCCCCAAACCTCTTCCTTTAATCCTAAAATATCATCTCTAAGGGTTCCCATTTGCAAGGTATGGAGAACAGAGCTATTGCACACTCTTTTTCTTGACCCTCATATTACGTTATCCTTTTTTCCCCACTTTACTTCCTTGTGATGGATTTTTGCAATGTTCATTCTAACCCGATGACATCCATATAAAGGAGTCGGAAAGAGGAAGAGTGGTAAAGACCCTCCTCTGCTTATGGTCCTGACAGTACTACATATAGTACAGGGAGAAAAGAAGGGAAAGGAAAGAAAGAAAGGGAGGAAAAGTATTCACATTACCATTTGATTTAATTAGTGAAACGCTAAAGACTTACCCAGAGTACCACGAGTGAACTAGAAGGTTAGACGCTACAAGGTAAATGTCAACTGCTCTTAAAGTAACTGTTTATTAAACCCAGGATGAAATGTATTTCAAAAACACTTGGTCAAATTAATCAAATAAAAAGCCAACGAGCATTCAGCTTACATCCAACGAGATTAAACGATTAGAAGTGTAAACGTTCTTCACAGTTGCCAGATCATCACTAATTCTGCTATGCCATAAACAGAGGACATTTAACAAATCTTGGTCACTCTTAACAGTCTCTGTTGTCTACAGGACTTGATTCGGTCTCAGAATAATCTGATAATACAGCAAGGAAGAAAAGGTTTACCACTACGTTGTCAAATGACAAACTAAGAAACTGGAGTAACTACAGACCAGTGAAATGACACACAACCAGGCGTCCGCCTGCCCAACTCCACCGACACAACTCTGCTCACTGGTGAGGAAGGCAGGAAACCGACTGCTCGGACTTGGAAAGATGCTGAAACAAGATTTCTAACCCGGCACGTGGCTCTGGGCACCCTTCCCCATCACCAAAGCTTCAGGAAACTTGAGCTGCTGATTCACCGCTGCTCGGTTCCGCCTGATGGCCTCCCCCAAAAGAAGTCAACACAAGTCTGAACTCTCACCCCCCCGGAGCCCGCGGGACCGCCCTGCCCTCCGCCTGCCCTCCGCCACCCGAGTCCCCAGGGCCGGGGAGGACGCGCACCCCCCGGCCGCTGCGCGCACACGGCGGGCGCCCCAGAGGTCCAGGGAGCGCGCC